ACTGCTAGCATGCACAGAAACACTTACTGGTTACCATCACGTTCTCCTTTCTTTCCAAATTAGTTGAAATATATTAAATGAAATATTCATTTGAAAATATAAAATTATAAACAACAACTAACCCACTTAATTCAAACTGGAGGAACTTTGGTAGAGAACAAATCAAAAAAGAGGATATGCTTTCCACGGCAGCCAAAGTATAAAAAAACACGAACAATTCAATACAGGCGATCCTGGCCTGATTTCTAAGAAAAAAGTGTTGAGTTCGGTGTTCAATTACCCCAGTTGTACATGTATAATTATATATACTTGTAAATTACTTATAAGATATACATTTAATTTTTAAGATGCTAGTAAACTATTCTTCTACGTTTTAAATGTATAATGGTTAAGTGAATCTTTTTCATTTCGGCCATATGTTTCTAAAGTTGTCATATATATATATATATATATATATATACATATGTATATGATGACTTCAAATGCTTTCGTAAAATAATAAATATTCAGGATAATGTTAAAGCTTTCAAATTTAGGTCAAATTGCAGGGACCTACATCTGAAAAACATTAAGAATGTTCTTAATTTGTATGCAAATAAGATATAATACAACCCAAATATATATAAGTGAACTATGATCGAGAGACTTATTATGATGTGAAAAGTAACAGCCTTATATACATATATATTTTTTATGTAAGTAAGTTTTTCAATGAACGATTTCATTTAAAATAATTTGCTAATGTAGATCTACAAGTATCAGAGCCACTTATAACAAAGTAAAAATGTTGTAAAAATCGTATATTTTTCACGTGCAAATGATTGTCATTTATCCAACGTTTTCAAATTACGAGCAATTAACGTAATTATTTGAATGCTATTATAGTTAACAAGTCGTCTTATTTTTGAGCGTCAAAATGCTACAGGAAATGGTAAGTCTTATATATCTGTGTCTTCAAAATATTCTAAACTTTTACTAAAACTCATAGTATTGGGTGTGGACTAGAACATTTAAAATTGATTATCATTCATATGTAACCACTGTTACATATTTCCGTGAAGAACAATAGTATTATTTTTTCAGTTTATCTTGAATTGTAGGAAATTAACTTTGAATGACTTTTCAAGTTGAAATCAGAACATAGACACCTCTCATTCCAACTAACTTCTTAAAAGTTCTTTGTATTTCCACTATACCAATACATTTTGAATAATGAACCATAAAATAATATCCAAATAGACTTTTGCAATTCATTGTATTTCCAGAATTATAATATTGGAACAAAGATGAGTATGTAATGACTTATAAGTATTTTAATATATCCTGAAACACTCAGAATTAAAAAAAAAGAAAATTCATGTTTCAATAATTTAGCTATTTCATCTCATTCCTATGCTTTAGTTGTTTTTGTAAAAATAAAAAAAATCTTAAATACCATATTTCTTTGTTCTATTTCGATAGAATTAAATAAAATAATGCAAACTGAGTAAAGTTTCTACAATTGAAAATAAGCATTTTTGTTACAATTTCTGACATATCTTGCAGGAAAGTAAACGAATTTGGAGTAACATCTTTATTTAATATATTTTCCTCTTCGGAAATAACATGAATTTGTTTTGGATAAAACATCAATATTACAATAGTATTATATATATATATATATATATCATTTAGCGAAAACTGTAGGAGCTCTAAACCTAAAGAAGCTGAGAAAAATACACACTTTCGACAACTAATTATTTTACATTCTTAACATACGTACTGTGAAATAAGTTGCATGTGTTTAC